TTCAGTTTCAGTCTTCGACGTTTGCTGAAGGATCTTTGGGGTGAGTGTTGTTTTCTTGAAGTATCGTTGTCTCTGAATGAATTACAAAACGAGTTCTTCAGCGATCACTGAACAAGCTCAGTGTATTGATCGCTGGAACCGAAAGTACAGAAACACAAAAATACATCGAAAGGAAAAAGGGATTATCATCAAATCACTGAGAGAGAGGATCAACAATCCCTCCATGGAAAAACCCATAAGTATCAACGTTAACCGTTATCGAGTAAGAGGTAGTAGAAATCATCTTCTTTACTTATTTGATCAAAACCGGGTGGAACCCAAAGCCCCGGAGCATATTGAAAAGAAAATTCCAGTCCACAGTGTCATATGCCTTCTTAATATCAATCTTGAAAGCACATCTAGGAGGACCCTCCTTTCGTTGATAACCCGAAACCAATTCATGAGCCATTAAAATGTTATCAATTATCCTCCTCACCGGGATGAAAGCCAATTGGGAACCATCGATTAAATAATCCAAATGACATTTCATTCGATTAATAATGATTTTACTAATGCATTTATAAAGAACCGAATAGCATGCAATAGGTCTATAATCAGAAACCTTATAGGCATTAACAGATTTCAGAATCAGGCAAATAAGAGTGTGATTCAGTTCTTTAGCAAGGTTACCTCTATAAAAGAAGTTATGGATGGCTACCTCGACATCACGACCAATAATGTCCCACGAAGCCTTGAAGAACCGGGACCAATTCTGAACATTGCCTTAGGTCCATGTGGTCTTCGTGGGTATAATGTGCCTATTATTTCTTTTAATCGAGTCATTTGGGCCAAAATGACACTAAATGGATCATCATTAATCTGATTAGACCCTAATGGGTTTAATAGGGCCATTTTTCCATAAGGAGTCTAATTGACTCAAAATGACACTAGGTCATATCTAGTTTGATCAGACCTTAATGGGTATAATGGGATAATTCTTCTATTTGAGTCCAATTGAGTTATAATGACCTAAATGGGTCATAATTAATCTAATTAGACATTAATGGGAGTAATTGAGGTAGAATGGGTCTTAATAGGTCTATTTGGTGTTAGTGGATATAATGAGCCTATTTCTCTTTAAAAAGTCGAATTAGGTCAAAATGTCACTAAGTAGGTCATAATTTGTCTCATTAGACCCTAATGGGATTAATCGACCCATAAAATAGATTTACAAAAGGGTTAAGATTATCTTGGATTAGTTACGATAGAAAAATGTCTAGAATCTTTAGATATAAAAAGTAATTATATACCGGCTTATTCAGTTTAACCTAAACCATAAAATAATACACTAACCACAAAAATGGTGTCTGATTGGTTTGAACTTGAGCTCCAAATGTCATATGTGCCTGGAGGTCTCAAGTTCAAACTTAAGGAGAAATAAAAATCCCTTAGTGACCACGGAGGTTCAAATTCGATGACTCCACGACTACCCATAAAACAGATGATCATTCTGAGATTACTTGACTTAATAACCTGGTTAATAAAAAATAATACTAAACCAAAACAAAATCATTTTATCTTCTTTTCTTGACATGCCTAACCTGACCTTAGAGACCATTCACAGGACCAATTAGAACCAGTTACACTAAAGGGACCGGTTAAGGATCGAAACCCGTCATTGTTAGGATGGGTAGTTGAATGACAAGCAAGGACCTGGCTTGATTACGACCATTCAAAGGCTTGACTTTTACCCCAACTCTAGAAGAGAATGGTCTAAAATGGTCATATGAATAAGATAGAAAAAGGTAACCAGGTCTTGAAAACGACCAGTTAACCGTTCGTATTTGCAGCCGATCCTAACAAGCACCAGGATTTGGTGCCACTTGCCCACCTCTATATTACAACCACTACAAAAATATCAAATTGGCATTGCTTACAAACAACTTGCATCACTTCAGCCATAGGTTAAAACATCACATACCTCAACAAATAACAAAGTATTTTGTGATTAAAAACCTAAATCTTAATTTCAAAATTGACAAGAGGTTTGAACGAGCAAAGTGAAGGACAAAATCAAGCTATTTCCCAAGTATATATCATAGATGTCTTTAAGGGTACAAATATACAGTAGGCACCCAAAACATGGGGTTTTGTATTTTCTGCATAATGCAAGTATGTGTCATCCAAAAATGGCAAATAAAACAGCAACAAAATGATAATAAGAATACCGAAAGAAAACCCGGATGAAGATCCTATGCCCAAGTCTATATGCTTCACTTGCCACAGTTGAAACCACCGCAAACCGATAGGACTATAATGAGAATCAAGGCGATAATGATACCGAGAACTATCAGCTTTATCTTCATGTTTTGCAACCACATCTTCCTCCTCATCTGGGTACCTTGTGTCCTAAAATCTTGTGCCTGCACCCATGCTCGACCATTGTATAAAAAAGATGAACCAGAGTAATAACTTATTGAGCAGTAACGCTAGTCAATAAAAACATAAACCGAACGAGCCCCGTATATCCCACCCGAATATGCTAAATTGCTAATTAATTCTTTAAATCTTAGCCTTAGAACACATGATGCACTCGTTCTCACAGTTTGTAAATCTTTTGTGGTTCTCGCATGAATAGCCCGTTATACAGACACACACATGTTTTCTACTATTACTCGATGGATCATCTCAGGAGAGAAGCTCAAAAAGAAGAACCAAAGAACCACGAAAAAAACAGATTAAAAATATTTCAATATGGATGTCAAATTGAAAATAATAAAATGATCGTGTTTTTGGTTAAATTTCGCCCATTTTTGTTAAACTTCGCCGGTTTAATTAAAAAATAGAAGATATTTTTATTATAAAAAATAGGTGCTTATAACCACCTTTTTAACCACATCCATTGTATCATCTCAATATATCTGTTTGGATGGATTCTTTAGTTCTTTTTTCTTTTTTGAGGGTTCTCTCACGATCTTTTCCCTACCAAAATAATATATCGATATTTTATATATATATATATATATATATATATATATATTACTCCGTACAGCCTTTTAGAACACTACTACAAAATCTCTCTTAATATTCGGCAAGTATCATTTCCATTCATCCTAACTGTTGCATCTCATAATTCCCCAAAGTATTTTCATTCATCTTTTTATGCCATTGACAACCATATTTCTTGTTGATCAAGTCACGTGTACTCGGACATATTCACAAATGTAGCCATCATCATGGCCATACACTATAATACTTCGGCCTAACCAATGATCTGGAATGTTAAAATGTGATATTGAACATACCTGTGACCATACATTAGATAGCAAATTTTTTTCTTGTTGGACCATCTTTCGTACTTGCTCATTTTCCATTATTACACCTAATCGATCGCAAAAGGGGAAACTACAATGGCCCTCAAATGTTGAACTTCTTAGAGTATGAAAGTCCTACCTTGAATGTCGGTTCAAAGACTCTAAGTGTTGTGATATGAAGATGAAGGGTTCAGACATCGATAAAGGTTCAGCTTAGTAGAGAAGAAATTGTCTGAGTGTCAAAGTCTGAACAGAAGGCTCAGAGATCTGAAGAAGAAGGCTCAGAGTTTGGGAGAAAAGTCTCAACTGCCTATTCAGACTTTAGTACTTAAATGTAAATCTTCAGATCTTGTACAAAGGATCATAAGCATATTAGAATACATGTCTTGAGCTTATTTGTTTGTATTTCACAGTCATGTACCTTTAGTATCATCCTTTGTACAATATAATTTTTTTCTAGAGAGTCTGTTAAGAGTAAGCTTTAGACAGTTAATATTTTGTACTCAATAGAATATCTCTCTCTAAGATTATCTCTCTGTAACCATAGTAATCTTTTGACAATCAATGATAGACGACCATTTCTTGATTCTTATCTGTTATAGTTGATTACATTGTTTGATTAGATCTGTTTGGAATCCTACAGAGTACATTAAGGGTTTAAATTCACTGACCTGAGATCGGAGGTTCTCCGTTTTATCCACAAGAAGCTCAATCTTCTCTCCGCGGTCTAGAACCTGCAATTCAAACAAGTATGATATCGTGTAAAGAAATCATAACCCTTCATGTCCTATGCAGCAGGGTTCAATGTTATTCATAAGGATATGTAATTTTGATCATTCAATCAAAACTCTTATAAAGCATTACCTTCTCAATGTTTTCCATCATCACACCTTTGACTTCTGTAACCTGGGCCTTCACCTTTGAAAGCTTGCTGATTTCTTCAGGATGATCAACACAATACTGCATCTGCTCCTTCAGCTTAGGCCTGGTTATAATAATTTTGACTTTATCTGGTCAAGCAGGACATCAATGTATTTTTTTTTTACCATAGTGTAAAAACTTTCACGACTCTTAATGATGCTACCACCAGGCATCATCACCGAAAATTTGAGAGGCTATAGTAGAGCATATCGAAGCTCAAATTAAAGTTTTTTATGGTTAACAATAGTGGAACACAAAAATCCTAACTGTAAATCATTGAAATATAACTAATTTCATAGGGGTCGTTTACCAAATGCTTACCGGGTAAGCGCTTACCGGCAAGAGTGGTGCACTCTCATTTACCTTATAGGCGTGTATAACCTAGTAAGTGCTTACCGGGTAAGAGTCATCACCCTCACTTAAAGGTAAAGAGTCATCACCCTCACTTACCGGGTAAAAGTCTCGATCCTTGCCATCCCTCTTACCAGGTAAGATTCTTGGTCCTTGTTATGTTCACGTGGTAAGGTAATTGAACCAGTAAGCGCAAAGGTAAGTGTCTAGTAAACAGCCCTAAGTGTTTGTACTGTATTTGGTAGCTATAGTAAATTTTTTGAGTGAATTACATGTTTCGTCCTTGGGTTGTGGCTCTAATTGATCCTGCCCCTTTTATGAAAATTCAACTGTTGTGACCCGTCCCTATCACCAACTCAGTTAAAAAAATCCTTCTGAGCAGTAGTTTGGTCTTTGTATGTTTTCATCCCATTTTCCATTAAAAATAAAATCATTAAATTATATTTTATATTTTATTATATATATAGAGAGAGATATGTGCACACTACACACAGGGATGACATAAGTCGCTGTTGATCTTTCCCTTTCCACCCCCTACCCCATCGCCGCCAGAAAACAGCCCCACACCAAATCATGACCTGCAAACACCATAATACACATCAAGCCCCAAACCCTCCAATGAAGCCCCCTACGGTGAGTACATAAAGCCTGCGGTACATTCCCTCCCCCACCATTGTACCCCCTTCCATGAAAAGATATTAAACAAATTCGTCCAGGGAAGTGAGAATTTTTTTAGGGCTGCTAGAATGCGCGGTTTATGTCACCCAAAAAAAGGAGTCAGTTTTCTTTGAAGATCGAGGAATCAATCTCCCGAAGGTAGACATTTACCCAAGGCACTGATATTCTGACTCAGACGACTCTCAAGTGGTTTCATTCCTTCTTACTTCGCAGAAACCATCTGGCTCTGCAACTGCTTCAAACCCTAATTCAAGAATCATAAAGCGCAATTAAAAATCAGAAGCAAAACCCACCAAAAAAATTAAGGGACTGGATAATTCAGTGGTTAAATGGGTAGTATGCAAGAGACTGTTGGTTCGTCATCTAGAAGCAGAACCCACAAAAATAATCGAACCAGAAGAGTAGAGGAAACAAAGAAGGGTGAGGGTTCACAATGTCGAGGAGAATAGAGCCTACTAAGCTTTGGTGCTGGTTTAAACGTCCCGCCGGAGAAGATGGAGGCCAAGGATGTCCTGGAGGGCTTTGCCAGAGAAGGAGATATTCATCGAAGGAGATATTCGTCGAAGAAGATGGAAGCCAATGGGGCGCTGGAGGGCTTTGCCGGAGAAGATAGAGGCTGAGGCAACGCTGTTCGCGCGCCCCATGGGAGCTTCACTATCTAGATGTATGTATAGTTTTATATAAGTAATATATATATATAACTTTTTTACTTTTTTAAATAAAAAATGAAGAAAAACATAAAAAGACTACAATACCCCTCGCTTTAACTGACTTTTTTAACAGAGTTAGTGATAGGGTCCCAACTCATTGTAAAAATGCAACCACAAGGGCACGATCCATTTAATTTTCATAAAAGGGACGGGATCCGTTAAAAAGTACTAACCACAGGGACGAAGCATGTTTTTTATTTTATTTATATTAGGGTAAGAATTTTGTGACACTACTTTAAAAACATACGGTAGATCCGGCTCTGCAGGACATCAACAACCCCCTGGTGCAACAAGCTCCTGGGCTTTGCAAGTGATGGGATGAAAGTCTTTGTACACGGTCATTAACCAAACCAAACAAGCCTAGTATATCCCACCCAAAAGTGGGGTCGAGAAGTAAGATGTACGCAAACCTGACCTCCACCCTAAAGAGCAAAATCGTTGTTTCCATGTAGACCTCCGGCTAGTGACAAGTGTGTGAAAGGGAGAAAGACGGATATACTAAAAATTATAAAGCATTCCCTTCTATTTTACTAAAAGGCAGTTTCCTTGACACAAGTGACCCTTGGGGAACAGAAAGTAACCTAACTGGTTCTTCCAAGGTTCATTCCCCGTAGAATGTAAGATGGTAAAAATGGAGGGTCAGATTACCCAAATTCTTTGTTCAGGCTATTGGCAACAGCTGTAGAAGCTTTCCCTGCACCATATTTCTTGGTAAAGTCTTCCTTAATTCGCTCGAGAAAAGCCATTGGAACCTGTCTGCCAGCAGATTCGGCAGCAACAACACAGTATGCTCCATGAATTAAAATAAAGATAATGTCAGCTAACTGATATAGAAGAAAATAAGGGAAAAGCGCAAAGATTAACCATATTCAGATCAATAAAAATGGTAAGCAAGGTAGAACAGAATGAGATTGCCATGTTTCAACAATAAATTAGCTAGCAACTAGCACTAGGTTTCAAAATTTCTAAATATGTAACCGTATTGCAATGTAGTATTATTCAAGTGTCCTTTTATGTATTACTGATCAATCCCCCTTAATTGACTACCCTAGCTATTGTTTTGGTTTGGCATTTAAATAATATATGAATTATGCATACATATATAATAATGCAACAGCTTATCCCCCAACATATTGTATCTGTTATATAAAAAGTTGTGTTTGGTAAAAGCCATAATGTTGTATTCCAAGATATCTATGCTTCTTCAGTTAGCAGAACATGCTACTATAACAAATTCATAGGCAAGAGCAGGAAACACCAATCTAGCATATCTATAAAACAGGATCCATCGAATTTACAAAGCACACACAAGTCTATTCATAAATTTAAAATCTTAGCCAAGCCATCTTTGGGTACGTCATACACTCGAGTATCATCGGCTGCTTGCGTACTTAGTTATTGCTATAGCCTATGAACACTAGCATGCAAATGTTGAAGCCACATGCTTAATGAGTAAATTTAATATACAACAATCAAGACTATGATATAAAAACCCACATCTCTATGTGCCCGCAGCACTTCCATATGGACGCCTAGACGACGTTTTTATTCCTGGGCTGCAGTACGTCGTCCTTCCCTGAAATGGAACTTTCATGCTGGCCTACTCAACCGAGTTCAGTGACCAAGGCTCGGCAACAACTCACTAGTCGAAAAAGACGCAGCTAGTCTAATTCCTTCATCGTGACTTTCCTTCAACAGCTAATATGGGAAGCAACAAGTGCATGTAACCAGGATTCATCCCTAAACTGACTACATAACAATTTTAATCAAGTCAGATCACTATATGCAGAACTGAATCATGTTTTCCTTACAGTGTAAGGTCATCTAGTGAATCCAGGATTCCTGCGTTCGGTGTTGTTTACCAACATGATCATTTAGGGTGCGTTTGGTACACTGGACAGGATAGGACAGAACAAAACAGGGATCCCTGTCCCATGTTTGGCATGACTTTTATGTGGAATAGACAGAAACAGAGTGGAACAAAGTAGAACAGGCCTGTTCCACCTCTACCCCATAGAACAGGGTGGAAGTGGAACAGACTTATATTTTACCAATATAACCTCAAAATATAAATTAATTCTCTTCTAAAACATCAAATAGGTCTCTTTTTAACATTTTATTCATTCTTTAAATTTTATTTATTGTATTTTATGTTTCTTAAACTTTCATTTTACTGTCCTCAAAATATTATTTTTATACGGTTT